CGAACAATATCATAAAATGAAGTAGGCTGAACGATTATTTTTATGACAGCATGGAAAAAAATATTGGTACGAACCTCGCCAATTCCTGTCGCGCGGCTAGACGAGCGTTTCACTGCAATTGTCAATATCTTGCAGTAATATCCTTTTGCCGAGATGCGTCTGTGTCACACCTAACAAAGCATATAATGAAAAACGTCTGCTGCTTCTAAATCGTATTTCAGATTCACATGACTCCTTTACTGCAACAAGATATTACGTGGAATATACGATAGAAGTTATTAAATCGTTTTCCGTTTAATATCGTACATATTTCACGATTATGAAACAATATCTGCATATGAGAAATATCAATATTCGCTGTCATACAAGTGAATTATATATGATATTAAAAGGAAACAATCAAGATTTCTTTTTGCCTCAAAACTTTATGTCGATATATGCTAGCAATCGCTAGCATAGCTGTCTCCAAATACAAAGTTTGAGAAAACCTTAAATTTCCCGGAAACAAATTGATAAAAGAAAATTATTTAATCAACGTTCACCTGATTTGCATATGAAAAGAAAGTTCGGAGACATCCTAAGGGTATGTCGTTTATAGAAAATGACTATAATAGAAATTTAGGGCCACAGAAAAAAGGTCGTTTTAGTAGAGGAAAATTGTGTGATTCAAAATTAAAGTGAAAGTAATATTAAAAAAACATCAGTTGTATATTTATCTAGACGACGACTGCTCGAATACCATCCTCGGTGTCTGTCTAAAAGTGCGAGGAGAAATGATAACCAATGGATATCAGGAGCGTACTTGTAGGTCTGCATACCAGGAAGGAACGTACAAATTTGACATTAATGGTGTATCAACCTAGAGCAAAGAAACTTACAAAATTGGCATTATTGGTATGTCTGCCTAGAAGGCAAAACATATACAGAATTTACTTTATTGCCATGTTAACTTAGAACGAAGAGGCATTCAAGATAACAATTTATGATATGTCTAGCTAAAGAAAGAGGCGTGAAGAATTAGCATTAACAGTGTGGTCGCCTAGAAGGACGTAGGACTTCATACAGAATAATCTTTACAAGTATGTCTTCCTAGAAGGAAGAAGCATACAGAATTGACGTTAATGGTATATCTACCAAGAAGAAATTAATATCGAATTACTATTGTAAGATTTCTACCTAGAAGGTAGAGGCATACAGAATGAACATTATTGGTAAGTCCAATAGAAGGTAAGAGGTATACAGAATGGACATTAATCGTATGTCTACCAAGAGGGAAGAGGCATACAGAATATACATTATTGGTAATGGTAAATCTACTTAGAAGAAAGAGGCATACAGAATCGGCATTAACGGTAAGTCTACCTAGGGTTAAGATGCACACGGGATAACTAATAAAGTCTGAGTGATTGAGGCATATACAAATATACCTCGAAGGAAGAGGCAAGGCTATGTACCAGAATTAGGACTATATCAAGGATTGCGTGAACTGATTACGAGGGAATCATTGATGAAATAGCTTCCAAACAGAATTGCTTTGATAGCTGAAATGTTCACATTCTACGACCAAGAAAACTTACAACATTGATGTACAAGGGACGCTTTTTTCACATCATAGAATGCTCCACTGGTATTCATGTATATTCTCGTTTTATCACGAGAGAGAAGGCAACATGAAAATGATTATCCATTAGAACATGAAGACCCGCGAATTTGAAGACATTAGTATTCCTGTGTATGACCTCTATACAAAGGCATGCGATATTAACTGTTCATGTTTATGCTGTTCTGGACTTCACACACAAAAGTCTATAGATAGGGAAATCTTCTTACGATAGCGTCAGTGTGCATGATGTATCGGTATTTCCACATCTTATTCGAAGGACAGACAAGTGACAACATATCAATTACGACGAGGATTCTAAGAAGTCGTCCAGAGATAGATTCGTTCTATATACTATTAGCTTCAGTCAAATATCTATCGCTCAGACAAACTCGCGATCAAAGCAGTCCGGGGTCTTCACGGCTTTTGTAGCTCTGTCACAGCTAGATTTTTATGTAAGAGAAACAGAATGGCTGCCGGTACTATATTGATGAGGGATAGTGGTGTTCATTTCAGAGCTTCGGTAATTGCTAGTCCGAGATATCCTTACTTGTCAGCACTCAATAGTAACCAGAGCTAGGCCAAAGCAATTAACATACGTGTTATTCGTTGTCAATAACAGATAGATAGTTCGTTGTTGCTTGATTAAAAAACAGTTAACTGAACTGTGTAGAAGTAAAACAAATACCAATATGTCAACGTAAGCATAATTCAAGCTCGAATTCCATAAACCGAGGGCAACATATGAACAATATTTACCTGGAGACTTTCAAAAAGTGTAAAAGATAATAAGATCAGGTGTTCGAGATGAGTAAGCGTCTTCGGCTTCATCAACGATACTCGCCTGTAATATGGACTGACAATACTATAACTTTTGCCATTTGAACGTTCTATCTTATTCTTGAACTAAACTGGAGTCACACAGCTTTATTTATAAAACACATTAGAACATTAATTTCTAAGCTACGTAAGAGATGATGGAGAGTCAAACAAATATCCTTTTGAATTATATGTCAATGTACTTGGTCAATGAGTCGGTGCTGAAGCGGTGAAAGAATGTGCCTGTTGTCTTACACTGGATGGTGTAAGATTTAATTATTGTGATTTTCCCCTTGTATGTCGGAGTGGTCTCACCGATCTCGTCTGTTGAGAATCATGATCACAAGAGGTGAATGAGAGTGGTCCTCTGTAGCATCTGGAGTATTTTCCTATTCCGTATAATTAATAAAATATGGATTCAAAGATAGCATCAAATTACGTCCTGTTCGTCATAATAAATGTCTCGAATATGTTTGAAATCAGCTATCAGTATGTATATAACTACTCATCAGAAGCAAGCTTATCAGTTTAGACATAAGTAACTATGATTCTAAAAGTAGTTCTCATTTGTAATGAATGGATTATACAAGCGTTATCAGACGTATAAATTGCAATATTCTGTTTAACAACTACCACTGCAAACCATTTATTGAGTTTACTACTGGCATTGCCATCAATTTCAAAACCCTCAACGTTTTTACATTTTTTTCTGTAATCTTGTCATTCAGCTCATCAGCAATCAGGATATGGAGAACGGATGGTGTTTCGTTGTAAATACAGATAATGTGGATCATGAGAGTGTTCGGATCAATAGTAATGGGATCTAATGGTTTGTCATGTGGAAAAGCGATAAAGGTTCCAATAATGTTATATATCTCAGAAAAAAAGACATGCAGCTATTCATTTTAATGGTTGTGATCACGAACGTATCATGTAAATCAATGTACAATGTATATAGTGATGCTGGATTTATAGAACTGCACTTCAAATTAGGTGTGTCTAAGTCAGAATGCAATACACACACTGTAATGTAAATGGTCTGTTATTTGTAGTTATAAGATACAGGTTGTAAAATAGCAAAACAACAAACAGCGTACAAGCTTATCAGTCAATTCTACTGATTCACAGTTAAGACGAATACTGCAAACAAAACAAAAAAACCAAAAAAATATAATAGAATATTAAAAAAGCAAATGCTACGCGTTTTAAAAGGATCTGATCAAGTTAAAATTACATATTAGATTCTAACTAAACAAACACACCTTATACATATTGGACATTTTTACAACATTACTATATAGATCATGATGTTGATCAGAATTAAATTAGCATCGTGACTTCATTGTTTGTGATGTAAAAAGCTGTTGACGTGTGTTCATTGAAACTTAAAAACAACCTTTCTTCCGAACAGTTGCCAATGACATTCTACTTCGCTGTCGTACAAATGAATATAATAAGACACCAGATGTAACCTTCATCACTCGGACGAACAGGTTCAAATTATGTAGGCAAAGCCAGAAATACACAGTATGACATTTAAAGTACACGTCATGACAAACTTTGTGACTTTTCAATTCTGACTAACATCGTGTGACAATAGACGTATGGAATTAGTGAATGAGAAACGTAATCAAAATTTGATCAAGAATAGATTAGACCAGAAGGAAACATTATGAAAATAAAGTTTTAACAAACAGCAACAAATCTACTATCATATGATAGACATCTCACATGTTAATCATTTCTCTAATTACCTGAGTAATTAACATCAGCTTGCCGTTTTCGTTCACTTCTCTTTATACAATTTTCGTTATATGTTCATATATACATATTCACAAACAAAATGTACAACATGGTTTTCAATAATTAAGGAATGTTATCATGTACTGTCATAAAGTACACGAGTTAAGGTAATTTTCCTATTCTTTTCTTCATGATAAAATCCTTTGGCATTTCTTATTTTCTAAACCTGTTTCGTTCCACTGCAATTTATATGTAAATCTGTCGTTGTTAATTACATTTAGCAATTTTACCACTTCATTACCGTTATGTTGTAAAGCTAGTTCATTGTCAATAAGATCGATAACTGACCATTTTAGATCACCTGCCCGAAGAGCAAACGAGCTTATGCCGTAGTGTGGCGTCGTCGTCCGTCCATCGTATTTCGATTGTCATTTTCACTCTCCTTAATGCTTTCACAATAACCGAGAGTCAATGCTTATAGCATGCCGTAATGAAGCTCTATCACATTTGTACTTAATGGGAAAGTTATACAGGTGAAATATGTTGACATTTCCGAACAATGCCTGAATAAAAAAGATAAACATATATGCTTTATGTTATTTGCAATATACTCCGAATAAGTTTATATCATTTGCGATAAATATGATAGTTACCAGAATAATTCCTTTCAACAGTCATCTCTCTATACTCTTCAGAACAGGTGGGAGATATAACCCTATTTTATGCTTAATATTCTTCACGAATGTTTGGTGTTAAAATGATGCAATATTTTCTTAAATAGTCAGGCAGTTTACATAACACATCTTCACTGAATTTACATATTATCTTATATTTGCAGGTTATCGTGAAATTGTGAAATTTTTGTTGAACGATTTCCGCAAAATCCACGTGGATCAACGGAACAAGCTTGGCTTCACCGCACTGATGAAGGCGGCCATTCAAGGCAGAACGTCGTGTGCCAAACTGCTGCTTTACGCAGGTCAGTCAATAAGATAGCTTACGCCGCCCCCTAACCTTGTGATGTTATGTTTGTATTTCGTTTAAAATATAAATGTAACGGGTGTGTTTTACGAATACAGATATTATCTACTCTTTAATTTCTTCACATATTTATTCTTCATCAAATATGTAACATACTATCGATGAGAAAATACATGTTTAGTATACCACAGAAAATGTAAGGCATACAGCAGCATGAAAATACCAATATGTCAAGAGTATCGCAATCTGAACTAAAATGCAATGAAAATCCTAAATGTAATGAATTAAAATAGATATCGTCAAGCTAAGTCGGGAAAGTATAGTGTTCATGTCGTCTTGCTAAAGATTGACCATACAAAGAGATTAAAACAATAAATTGTACAACATTGTCCGTTTAAAGATATCAACCGGTTTATGTACAAAGATTGTACAAAAGACACATGCTTAGAGTTAGAAACAGCAGAGCCAAAAAAAGGAGGAATTAAAATGCATCATACAGCTGGTTCGTGCTTTTAGGACACGTTAGTGATGCTTACAACCTACAATCTTTGAGATAACATGCGGTGGACACTAGTGGCGGACTTGTAGTCTCCGAGGTTTGTCGTCACCAGCTGCATGCCACGTGTTAATTCATTATTCAGAAATTATCAGATATATGAAAATAAGAAGGGTATTGAATTATGGGGCTAGTATTAATCCTCACCTAGATTTTGTCTTTTCTTTCGATCACTTTTTCCCAATCGCCTCCTAGGCATCTAAATTTTGACCCATATAATCACTGACGAGCCCTAGAAAGACAAAACAGTTGTAAACAGATTCATTCGTTATTTGCTTGAAATACGGCGTTAAGGTATAATAGCTTTTGTATATCTTTCTTTGAAACATGTTGTGCGTGTTACAATTTATCAATAATTTATTTAAGCTTTTCGATAACGTGTTCAAATTCCCCCTGCTAAATCGTTATGCACTGCCGTAGCTGCAGAATTATTGGAGAATGAAACAGATGACTTATATTGCAGCTATAACTGGACTTGCGTTTCAGTTCACTGTTTGGTATTACATCGTTTTGTTTTGTTTTGTTGTTGATAGGAAGCTGTTGTACAAATAAAGGAATATTTTCTCATCCATATTGATGAGCCGTGTTTGTTAAAGTCAGATATTGTCTGTTTTAAATGAACATGTGCGGAACTATGGCGTTATTACAACCTAGCAGTAAATTGGTGTCTAGAATTATGTTTGATATAAATTTCCTGAATCAAACACCATTTTGTAATTTCAGGTGCAAACCCTAAATTGCGAGATCATGGCCGAAAGCTTTGCGCCGAGGAATGGGCAAGATTCACCGGGAGGCAGGAGTGTGCGGATGAAATAGCCAAGTTTATCAATACAAAAAGGTTTTTATCAAACTCTCGTAACAAGAAAGTCCACGAACGTTCCAACAGTGAACCGGACTTAACGAATACGTGTACAGCAGACAAAGAGTATATGGGTCGACAGCGAAAAAAATCAAAATCCCTCCGCAAGAAATTGAAAAAGATGATTCATGGACACAGTGCACATTCAAATTCTCCTACAATGCACTTTACAGAAAACACAAAAAATGAAAATCCTTTCGCCATTATTGCCCGATGTGTATCGACTCCCATACTTCCTGGCGTGGTAACACACAGTGGTTCACCGCCGGTCTTAAAACGTCCTGTCAGTGCTGAAAACATTCCACGTGTGGAAATCACGTCACCATCAGACCGGAAATGACGTACTAAAAGTATTTCTCATGATTTGTAATTAAATCTAAATTGAATGAACTTGATGGAATTGGTATCACTTGCAGTTCAAACATTTATGTATCACAATAAAGAACAATGTACGGAATCAAAACTGAAACTTGATAAATTTACTTTGATCTTGTTGATGCGTTTAAAATTGTTTACATGAAACAGTATGTATTTAATAGTTTTAAAGGCATTTAGTTAAACATTTTACACTGTTGGTACATATGTACTACTATGGAGAAGAATTTTTATACTAATATTTCCTATTTACCAGTTCTGTCATCGCTTTTCAAAATGTTCTTAATAAAATGTTATCTTTGTGTCATTTGCAATCGCTGATTTTGTGTTGTTTTTTAGTTTTTTAAAGCTATGCTACTGCTTATTTGGAAGTAATTGATATTGACATAAATGCGTCTTTATCTAACTTATGTTTACATAAATTCGTTTTATTGCAAAAGTTGCAATATAGTTATAGCTGTCCACAGATTATGGCCTTTGATATTAATACCTGGCAGGGCTCTAGACATCGTGAATGACTAAGGCACAGTGGTCATATCAAATATCAAATATCAAGAATCAATCATAACTTTTTTTCAATTCCTGACATTTTCCATGTCATTTAAAACCTTATTTGAATGAGTCAATCAATATTAAGTGGTGTGGGATAGATAGAAAATTGGTCGCTTGGTTTTATGTCACATACATGTCATTAGTGAATGGGTTTTTTATGACGAAAATGATTCATAACTCAATCAAGAATATGGTACCAGACAAATTGACGTAATATTCTCTCAAAAGATTGATAAATTCTTACACATTTTACGGAACACAGTATATTTAATCAATAATTTATCGTTTTCTCACAATAACCATGATGAAATAACGAAGTGTTTAAAAAATGAAATCTACAACTTATAAAAAGGCAGAGAACCTCCTTCAATGGTATTGTCTGTTTCTGTAAAATGTCTGTGTAACCTCAGAACCCAAACTTAACAATACTGTAGAAATTTCACACATAATGTTTACACGGATGCTTTAGCTAAAGGATGTTTGACCGTGTAAAAGTGACACAATACATATATTAGAATTGCTATGAGAAACTGGTTTCACAGAAGTGCCGGATTCTTAATATCATTAGAAAGCAGTATCTATAGACATGATAACATTTGAACTAGTCCCAAGTCTCCGTAAATACATTTATTAATCTATGAATGCCTTTCACAGGTCCGCGCGTGGAAAAGTACACAAAATATGACATGACATATTTAATATTGGAACAACTTTTGTGTCCACTGTATTCCCATATGGTTGTTCTTGATAAGGTTATATAGATGCCCGTTATTTTTTCTTTTGTGAGAGTTCCCAGAAACCTGCTACGCTATATCAAACCACAAACAGTTACATTAGCACTGCAAGTCAATGAGGAACGATATTATTTAAAGATTTTAAAACATTGAAATCATTCAGTGATTTTGTAAAAGTAATAAAAAAATGTGATTTTGAATTTAAGCCAAACTTGAAAACAGACATTTCGGAAAAAATACTAAAAGGCATGTTTTAATTTAGAAGAACTGTTCTATATCAGCTAGAAATTTAAAAATCGGTCACAAGAACAAACAAGTGAATTCCATAAAAACTAGATCGTGACTTCTTCTATAGCGCCCGTTAATTGCTATATTTTTATTGAGTTAAGTAGGAGAGACTTCCACAAGCGGACTATTTTAAATACCATGTACACGTATTAGGGGCGATAACTCCCATCACACACGCACATATGACCAACTGAAAGACTATGTGGCGTTAGTTTGAATTTCTTAGTTGTTGCATTTTGATAACTCTTAAAGACTGAATGATATATTAAACATCGATAATCAAAACACTATCAAAGCGTTTTATGATAAAAATGTTAGGAAATTTCTACACATTTCATCAAATTAATGACTATTCCAGAAGATGATGGAATATGTCCGGCTGATATTGCAAGCATATCATGTTGATAATTCATAATATGAATTTTAACCCCGTGACCTTATGATATTAATCATAATACGGTAAACTGCCCGAAGAACGAGATGATCTGTAACAAAGAAAATAATACCAAGTCAATTCCAGCTCTAAATTAATAAACTGAGGCAAGATCTTATTGTCAGGACAGTCAGTGATATGTGAAATAGATGAAATTGGAAATGTTGACAAATTATATCCTACAAGAAAATTTTAATGCCAGCTATTTTGATATGTACAATATAGCAATATTGAGATGTAAAGATGCATGGAGGAATACAAAATGACTACCCATATTGTGCATTTTCATATGATAAAGTTTACTTGTAAAAACGCAAGTGTAGTAGAATATGATAAATTTTGGATTTTGATTATTTAAAATTTTGAAATGCGACGGATAAATATGATGTAGATTATCATAAATGTAGATGGTTATAACGATGGAATGATATAAGTAAAAAGAAAGTTGAAAGGGCTATTAAGTTGTTAAAAGCAAATAAAGCATGCGCTGGTGATGATATTTTTGAATAAATACATTAGCCGTTAGATAATAGTTTGTTTTATCTTACTTCTAATTAAGGGAAATAAATATGAAAAAAAAAAGGAAATGGCATTGTTTATACACAGAATGTGTAGTATTTTGCAAAAGAAGGTTTATCAATAGAAATATTTTTACTTACGAAAATGCAGAAATAGACCGTGTAAAAGAAGGGGTTTCCGTGTTTAGGTACAGTTTTCTCACAAATATGTTCCTTTAATGACGCAAACGGCTAAGTACATTTTGTGTGTTTTTTTCTGTTAGAGAACCGAAGTTGTCTGTTAAATGTATATTTTATCTTTTTACATAACTTGTAAATTCTATTTTGATATTTGGTCGAAACATCTGCGGTTTCACGAATATCTAGAATATTGAAAGTTTTTACCTAAAATTTTGAAAGTTATTTCTTGGTCTTAAGAAAACATCAGGTTACGTGGTTCCGAGGAAACTGGGTACTAGTCCACTTTTAATTGATATACTTGTTAGAATGATAAAATACTGGTAACGAATGCAACTGAGCAGAAAAAATCCACTCAAGTTTGCAATGTATATTTTCCTACCTCAAGTTTTTATAAAAGAAAATAAATTCCTATCTAAATTTTAAATGAATGTGGACTGAAGCACATTGGGAGTGCCCCTTCACAGATAAAACTCTGAACTCACAATTAGCTAATTAATTGTCAAATAGATGGTTTTTACAAAAATGGAATAGTGATGTTTTCAATTCTGTACAATTTTAGTGTTATAGTATTTATAAAAATATGATATATAGAAAAATAAAATGGTAATGAAAGGTTCAAAATAAATACTCATAAATCTATGTTGGGAATTAGCAGTTAGAATGATGTGGGGCATCACAATAGAATATATCCACATTGTGATACACAAGAAACAGGTGACGAATTCCACTATTTGCTAGTATGCCCGTTCTTGACAAACAACAGAAAGTTTTTTTTTAGGAAAATATTATGACATCCGTCCCAATATTATTAAGTTTTCATATCCAATTCATATATCAAAACGTTACGAAATCTGCGTAAGTTTAAAACAATTTAAAAAAAGGACTTATAATTTGTCATCTCTATAGAAGTGTATTTGTTGAATTTTGTGTTAGCGTGTTCTCTGTACATCCTCCTTTGTGAAGAGAATTATGATATTATAGAAATAGTGATATTAGAGACGGACCCTTAATACCGAACAAACTGTGAGAGTTAAAAGGAGGGATATACGTTTCTAGAAAAGGACAATTCACAATAAGCAAAATTACTGAGAGAGTGAAGCTAAGGGAAGTAACTCTAAGAGATCTTCATGGAATCACAAACTCATGCATTATCACACATGATGAACAACCAGCATTTAATATTTATCTATAATTATAGACATGGGAAAGCAATAGGATCTAGTATGTTTGCTGTTACACAGGTACTAGTCGAGATTAGATCATAAATTTTGGTTTTGTCACAAGACAAAGTCGAGTGTTCAAACGACAACAGTCATGATCGAATTCAAAAAAAAAAAAAAAAAAAACTGCCCAATTTCATTCTAAACAGTGCCTTACATGTTCGTAGCCAATCAAAAGACCCCTTTCAAACATTGATGACGTAGAATCTCTACACACTTTCCAGTAGAAAGTTGTTGAAAGATTCGGGTCAGGACGTAGATCGAGGCATTTGAGAAGACCTATAATGTTTCTCTGCGTGGATTATTTGTCTAAATTGTTGTTTATACTGATTTCTAGTGTATATACAGATAATTAACCATGTCTATCTCAGACTGGTAAAGGTATTTATGCACTAAAGTAGATCGATAAAACACCAGACATTGTGGAGAGGCATCGACAAGAGATCATGACGGGAGATTCAATCGAAGTTGTTAGAGCGTTTCTGTCAAATACCTATTGGGATTAATGTATCTTTTTCTACAGAATTATCTAGTAAAGTCAGGGGACAATATTATGTGATATGAATTCATCTAGTCATGATATTATTGACTGAAACTGATTCACTCACTTGTAAAGCAGAAAAAAGCTAATCCAAAGATCACAAAGATTACCATTATCGTACTCATTTCACATGTTAGCATGTCGTTATATCAAATGTCTCCTGTGTCGATGTCGAACATTTGCCTCAACCGGAGTGATGACCACCATTTTTGGGTAAGAGTCCGAATTCATGTGTATATCGGGGATTAGATTATGAAACTTATTCAATAGAAAACGCTTTATATAACCATTATTTTATAATTTAAATACAATCACATACATCACAAACCTTTTGATAGGGTTTTTATTGGAATGTCGGCCACGGAGTCGGACAAAACCAGGATCAAAAATATTTAAAAAGAATAATTTCAAAATAATGCTTGATCTTATTACATGAAATAGATACATACTGTTTGAAAATTCTTTGAAATCTGAACCTTTCCCTTTTGACGGGAGGCAT